GGGAAAAGACTTAGCCCCATAGTTCTCCTTTAAGGCTGATTTCACACCATTGAATTGCGGTAGTGGGTGATAATGCAGATGGTGGTATCCAAACATGCATATGATGTCACCCGACCCCGCGCATGTGATGTCATGTTCCCTGCCTCCAAGATGAAGCCTCGCGTTCTGCAAACTAATTTATATATGCCCGAATATAGTTTTCGTATATTCGAGCATATAATAAATTCCTTATATTTGGCATCAGCTTCCAGTTTCTAACCCCCTGCCCCCACATCCTTTTTGGGGAATGGATATGGGGATAACGCCCCTGTCCCTATCAACATAAGTACAAGGGTGGGGAGAGAGTTAAGGCTGGAGCTTTGGCTGCCCCCTCCCTCCCCCCCAGGCAAGGTACCCTCCCCCCCAGGCAAGGTACCCTCCCCATGTTGAAGGCCTGTGGCCTGGTATGGTTTAGGAGGGGGAGCAAAATCCATCCCAGACTTTCATTCAGGATAAGGGTCTGGTGTGGATTTTCGGGAGGGAACCCACACTAAAGGTGCCCATACTCTTGCAAACATCGGAAGAAAATTGTCGTCCAATGATCGAACCGTCATACAATTTTCGTACAGGGGCCCCATCCTGCCCCGACCATCACACAGTTCAATTAGCGGTCTTTAGCAGAAATCACCTGGACAAATTTTGTTAATTGACCGCATGGATTTTTGTTTGCGCATGAGCACTGTTAATCGTACGATTTTTGACATATGGAAACGTCACCAACCTTTTGAAAATCGTACCATCCGACAGAAGTTTTCTAACCTGCTGGAAAGTCAAAAGTCGATCGAATGTACAGTATTTGTGGTTGTACACTGCCCATCAACCTTATGAATATCGGCCGAAAACGCGTTGGCAAACGAAAATCGGCCGATATTCGTAAGGTGTATGGACACCTTAATTTGTTCATTTTTTCATTTGTTCCCCTTCCAATTCTTTACTAGACCCTCATCAATGAACTTTTGGGGGTTTCTCATTGTATTAAAAAAAAAAAAAAGTAGGCAGAGAAATGTAATAATAAATGGGCTGCCTTAACACGTGTGTTAGCGTGCATGTGTTACACAGCAGTGTGAATTGGCCCTTAGGGCCTGTTCACATGAGTTTCAGGTCCTGATCAGGTCCGGATCTGCAGACGCGGTGCTACTGATGCAGTGCGTTTTGGCCGTGTTTTTGATGCGTTCCAGTGCTGGAGTGGGGCTGTTAGTATGTTAGCTGCAGTGCAGTGCATTTTGGACGCGTTTGCGTTTCCTGACCGTTTAAAATGTGACATGCAGTATTTTTCTGCCGTAACCTGAACGGACTGCGCACGTGAGAACTGTAGCCCATAAAACACATAGGGATACATTGGGATGCATTTTGAGTGCAGGAGCGTACGGATCAAATCAGCACACAAAACGGGCTGTGTCTTTTTAGCCATTATTAAACAGAAATTTTAGCACAAAAAATTAGCTAGTAAAGGAATCTGCTGTGATTCTAGCCAATTAGGTGACTGCCACCAGCAAATGATTAAAGCCCATTTCCAGGCAAACAAAACATGTACCCCTGCAATGCGGTTACTCCCACACTGCAAGGGTTAGGTGCTCCTTTTTGTCTAGGGAACTCGTGTAACACAGATTTACTTACACCAGCTCCTTTGAAGCTCATCTCCCCTGGGCTCCAGCAGTCTAAGGACCAATGACACCCCTAATGCAGGTTCCATAGACCCGTGCCATTTTTTCTTACACGACGCAGGTGTGTTGAATGGGCACTGGTTTAGTGTCATTCAAAAATAATGACACAACAACACAGTACATGTGTTGCGATGTGGTACAGTGGTAAATAAGTCTGTATGGGCCCTAAAGTCATCAGTGTCTTGTAGACCATAATTAGCAAATACCCTAGTCCAGGGGTCAGCAACCTGCGGCTCTGGAGCCGCATGTTGCTCTTTCATCCCTCTGCTGCGGCTCCATGTCCAAGGGCGGAACTACCGTCGGGTCCTGAGGCTGTGTGGTGGGCCCAGTGAGGTGAGGTCCTGGGCACCCCCCCTGGTGGAGCATGCGTCAGTGCAGGGTCCCGGGGCCCCGCACTGCCGATGGGCTTCTCAGCAAGGGGGCGGGTCCTGTGACTCATCACCTCTCCTGGCTGCATCCCTAGTAACAGACGGCGGGAGAGAAGTGTGTGTCACATGCCCCGCCCCCTGCAGTGCACACTGCCTGGGATGCTGGCTTTGAGGCTTGGCAGGTGAGTCCGTTTGAGGAGCAGGGGGAGGGAGTGGTATGGGTGTAACGGCATACTGTGTGCTGTTATTTCATTAGAAAATTGGATAATAATTGGGAACATTACACTGTATTGTTGCCTATTATCGATTTCTCTGATTAAATGATTAGATAGGGCGGTTGTTCTATCAAAGTTTGTGACTAGCTTGGAATGTGTGACCGGTGACGTGGTCACACATTTCAATGTAATCCCGCCCAGGGCAGCTCTCCTGCACATGCGATTTGCGATGCCGATGTGCCCTGGAACAGCTGAGAAATCATTGGAATGCTTCACCTATTGGCGGTCACACATTCCACTGCCAAAAAACTTGGCGTATTACATTGAAATGTGTGACCATGTCACCGGTCACACATTGTAACACAGTCACAAACTTTGATAGCACACCGCCATCAGGGGGGTACGGACGGTACCCAATCGAGGGGTCTAGGGGGCCTCGTACATGAGTATCAGCTGTACCAGGGACGTCAGGCCTCAGCAGCAGCAGATAAGAGGAGTTTGGAGGAGGTACAGGGAAAGGGACCCCGGCGACCAGGTACCTGAGGCCCTGCAGCGCTCACCATAGAGCGTCTCAGATAGGCTGTGCAGGATCTATGGTGTGCTCTGCACGGTCACTCTCAGGCGGGCTCTGCGGGGTCTCAGGTAAGTCCTGAGTCCAGTGCGTTACTAAGCCCACATACACCTATACATGCTATATATAGCATAAAGGTAAAAAACGATATATGACGTGTTATCTTCATTTTAGATGTCAAAAGGGTTTTGTGGCTCCCGGTGTTTTCTTTTCTGTGGGAAATGGTCCAAATGGCTCTTTGAGTGTTTAAGGTTGCTCACCCCTGCTCTAGTCACTGATATCCAGCTGACTCTTACTGGCCTTAGCAGCAAGGGCTCATGTCTCAGTAGTGATGAGTGAACATTAAAGTTTTTAAATAATTTCCATGTAAACCTGAAACAAGTAAAGTCAGAGCTTCTAATCTGCATCCTTCTACTGGATCCGTGACTCTGAAAACACTTTTAGATTAGCATGACATCCAGGCAGCAAGTATTTTCAGAAAGGAAAGAACGCACTTGCAGCCTTAATGCTACCTCAGTACAATGTTATTCACAGCCCATTCAAACCTATGCAGGGTGGTAGTGCGTGCCAACACAGAGCTCTATGTGCGATGTATTGTGGTGGTTCATTGTGTATGACACCGCAGTTCACTGCACAGTAATTGTCAATACACAGCATATGGCAGCACATCACAATGCTGCAATGCAGTGTGTCGGAAACCAGGGACATGCACATTAACTGGTTTCGTTGAGGTGCGTTGGCAGCCCATTCATAAAGTATGCGCTGCCTTACTGCAACGCAATGTCAATGCATTGTTATACAGGATTTATATAGCGCCAACAGTTTGTGCAGCACTTTACAATATAAGAAAGACATTACAGTTACAATACAAATCAAGACAAGATGGCAGGGAGGGCTCTGCCCGTGAGATACAATCAGGAAACGTCCATTTATTGACAGATATTGCCACTCACTTGAGCGGCAATATCTGTCAATAAATGGACGTTTGCTGATTGCACAAGACATAACGGTGTGCTGGAGGCATCTCTTAAAATGTGTATCTTGTCTCAAGGCGCCATCCACGGTCACTACAAGCACCACTTGCATCTTGCATGGGAAAGTATCCGGTAAGGAGTGCAGCAAGGCATCTTTTCATGATCTTAATGTGCATGTAAACCCAATCCTAAAGTAATTTAATTTTTCAAAGTAAATTTCAATATTTTTATATCTCTTGCCTATTGTTGTTATAAGTAAATACCTGGAAATCTTGCTATGAAGGTCCTTGTTTGGACGCTTTCCTGTCTCCAAATGTCTCCTATGTTGTTGCCCTGTCACACAATCTCCCAATGGAGACATCAAACAGCCCTGCCAATGCAAATTGCACTGGTATGTTGCACTGTTGTCACCAATAATGATGCATGGGGGGCTTGGTGCAAAGCCAGTTCGTCTGAGTTAGCGCAAGCCCATGCAAAACTGTCACTATCACCCCCCTCCCCCCCCCACAGTTGCCACAAGTGATTGGGGGTATCAATCCAAATTTTACGCATGCTAACTCTGATGAATTGGGTTCACACCAAGCAATGGCACATCAGCACCAGGAAACCCACCCTGAGAAAAAAACTGTATTAGTAGCTGCTTGTAGAAAGAAAGATCAGCAGTGCTGACATGCAGAGATTGAGGGGGGAACTTGGAGATCATCTTTGTGGGTTATTGCTCAGTAACTGTCCTCTAACACTCCTATAGGTAATGCATTCAGTGTGTATATCATTTAATAACATGTATACAATGACGTGGAATGTTACATTGTACTTGAATCCCATTTAGCTTGTTAAAGCACATATCATAAACAATTGCCATGTGTTATAATAAAATATTGTACTGACACTGCACCCAGAAAGTCTCGTATAGCACACAGCAATACGTCAGTCTTACCTACCATCGATAAATAACTGGCAGAGCCGATGCACAATGCAGTACAATGAGAGCCGGCGAGCCTCAGATCCCAGAGCATTGCGATCAGCTGACTGCGAACCAGAGCGCAGCTATCACACCTGATTGACGTCCGCTCTCCGCCTCCAGCCAATCAGCGCGCAGTGTTGCGGGATTTAAACCTGACAGATGGCGGTAGACTTCATATTGTTGGTGTACTGTGAATTTTGGAGTAATGGCGACTGTGATGACAAGGGTAATACTGGTCGGTTTGTTGTGTGGTGCTGGGTGTCTGCTCCTTTGAGGAGTTGATATCATGTAGCCTTCAATTGTCATATCTACACGTGTAGTACAATCTGATTTAAACATGGGCATCAGTTTTCTAACGCTAAGGCTGCTGCTTGCTGTACATGTCTATGGGCTACTCATGGTGCTGTCTGAGCAATCTTATTCAGGTTTACCAGCATGGATTTTGATGGCCTGTCTTAAATCTAAATTAAATGGACTGTTAAGAAATACCCTTGCACTAAATTGCTCTTGATATCTAAGGAGGCTTGTTTTGAAAGTCTTGCTCTTGAATGAGCTGATGGGGATTGTACATTGGGGTTGCAAAATGTGGTTGCTTGCAGTGCACATCTACAGGTCACACATGATGCTGTCTGTTATTGTAAACCCAAATGAGATTGTATGATGGTGGCCTGTCTCGATATAAAGAAAAAATAGGATGTTTATAACTCCTTGCAGTGCATAGCTCTTGATAGATGGAAGTAGGGTTGGCTTTTTTTTTTTTCTTCCAGTGAAACCTGAACACTCTAACAATGCATGGAAATTGTTTGGGGGAGATTACATTGTGGCTTATTCCTATGTAAATAGTGTCACCCATTCATATGTAAATATCACCATCGAGAGGGGCCAGTGGCCCCTATCATTTTGGTTGACCCTGTCTGCCTGACATCATGTGTCTGGGTTTCAGCTGCCATGAAACCTGGATGCAGCGTTCAAAACCCGGACTGTCCGGGTGAATCCTGGACAGCTGGCAACCCTAGATGGAAGGTTAAGATTGTACTTCTAATAGCGGGAGACTCCCGGAGCGTCCGGGAGAGTTGAGATGTCTGTACTTGATTGTAATGTTTGGCTAGCTTGGAAGCTTGCTGTGCTTCTTTCTGTAGCTGAAAGTAGAAGCAAAGGGCCCAGTGTGATATTGGAGGAAATATATTTATTGTATCCTGCTGTTTAGTGGATTGGTCATCATGACACCCTACTGTTTAGGCTTAATCCCTTTCTTTCCCATTAGAATTGTTTCACAAGCCAAAGCCTCCAATTATCAAGCTCAAAAACTGTTTTATGGTCCAACTCCCATTCTGCTTTTGTGTTGGAAACCTGAAAGCTATGGGCTTCAAAAAAATACTTATTCCCTGGCTTCACTAATGCATCAGATACATGCAGCAAATGTTTGTTCTCAATTGGTTTTGTGCTAGAGAGGTTACAAAGTTGATGTCGCTCCTCCATACATTGTTCAGAATGTTGAATAATTAAGTGGGTAATCATGTGTAATGGTCTATTGTGAGGAAGGTGCAAATGCCTGACTAATATTTCTCACTGAGGTCTTAAAGGAGAACTATGGGGGTCAGTGTTTTTCTCCATAGTTCTCCTAAGGGTCACGGGAGGACATAAACTAGCGCCATCCCGTGACCCAAAGCTCAGTATACTGAGACCGCTGCAGCCGGGACAGATCCCGGCAATACTGTCAAGATCCACCCAGCGGTGTGATTGACAGCTGGCTCTATCTAGAGGCAGAGCCAGCTATACCTGCCCCCTCCCCGTCCGTTCCGCCAGTCAGCGCGTGAAGGGACCTGTGAGTGGCCGCCACGACTCTCTGCAGGGACATGATTGAGCGACGGTATGTGTTCGCTCACTTCCCAATCTATTGAGCTGACGTGTGACAATTTCATTGTCACACGTCGGATCGAACTATGAGGTTGAGTGAATCCCTCACCTCATAGTTCTCCAAGTGTGGCAGATGAGAGCTGTTTTGACTTAAAGTAATCCTCTGGCTCTTTAGTGTGGGGTGTTTTTAAATATAAAAAATGAACACTGAGATATTGCCAACTATTTTCAGAGTATGAGGCTAAACGCAGAACACAAAATGGAGACAGCTTTAGCTACAAAGAAGGTTGGACTGTTGAAGCCACGGCAAAGGAATGCTCTGGAGGATATCGGGAACTGCCTGAGCCGGGCCAAACCAGCTTTGAAAAAGGCAAGCCTTTACTCCAATAATTAATTTCAATTATCAATTGGCCTATTGACTTGTGTTGCTGCATCAACAGCTAACCTATGTGAACAGGCCCTTAAGACTGCTCATAAAAACTGCAGTTTACACAGACAATGGTCTAATATTCTTGGCTACTCATCTTTGTCTTTACAGTGGAATTTGTATCTTGGTGTAACTTGTGTATTGCCTATTGCAGGAAAGTAAAGGAGTAAGAACTGATGTGGTGGAAAAGGTTGCCAGGCCATCTCCTGTGGAGGAAGAAAAGGTGATCTATGGGATTATGTAGCTACTGTAGCCAGTCATGTAGCCAGTCAGCCCAAATTGATTTCTCCAGCATCCTAACTGAAATTGTGTTTTGACTTTATTTCACTACCTTGGTGTCTAACATGTGGCTATAGGAGGGTTTCTTATGTTGGTGTTTATATTATGAAGATGGCAGATGCCCAAAATTTCCATGTGGACATGGCAGTGCCCAACTATAAGGGGAAATCTCTCTTAAAGCATATCTAATACAAAAATGTTATTTATTGTGTATTCAATTAGGCTTCCAGAAGTATTGTTTAATCTTTACAGCTTTTTGGTAAAATTAGAGCTTGGTCTCGTGCCTCCCAATCTTCTGTTGGTCAATGAGGCTGTTTATCACAAGGTTTGAGAGTTGACGTCTACTGCGATAAGATGGATGCATGTACAGGTGAAACTCGAATAATTAGAATATCGTGCAAAAGTTAATTCACTAATGCAACTTAAAGGTGAAACTAATATGAGAGACTCATTACATGCAAAGCAAGATAGTTCAAGCCGTGATTTGTCATAAGTGTGATGATTATGGCTTCCAGCTCATGAAAACCCCAAATCCACAATCTCAGAAAATTAGAGTATTACATGCAATCAACAAAACAAGGATTGTACATAGAACAATATTGGACCTCTGAAAAGTACAAGCATGCATATGTACTCTACTTGGTTTGTGCCCCTTTTGCAGCAATTAGCTTCCATGCCACGCTGCATTGAGGCAGTATCAGCCTGTGGCACTGCTGTTATGGAAGACCAGGATGCTTCAATAGCGGCCCTCAGCTCTTCTGCATTGTTCGGTCTCATGTCTCTTTCTCTTGGCGATGCCACATAGATTCTCTATTGGGTTCAGGTCAGGCAAGTTTGCTGGCCAATCAAGCACATTAATCCCACGGTCATTGAATCAGGTTTTGGCAGTGTGGGCAGGTGCCAAGTCCTGCTGGAAAATGACGTCAGCATCCCCATAGAGCTCTGTCTGCGGAAGGAAGCATGAAGTGCTCCAAAATCTCCTGGTTGACCCTGGACTTAATGAAGCATAGTGGACCAACACCAGCAGATGACATGGCTGCCCAAATCAACAGACTGTGGAAACTTCACACTGGACTTCCAAGCATCTTGCAGTGTGTGCCTCTCCATTCTTCCTCCATACTCTGGGTCCTTCGTTTCCAAATGAGATGCAAAACTTGCTCTCATCAGAAAAGAGGACTTTGGACCACTGAGCAACAGACCAGGTCTGTTTTTCTTTAGCCCAGGTAAGACGCTTCTGACGTTTGTTGTTCAGGAGTGGCTTGACAAGAGGAATACGACATTTGAAGCCCATGTCCAGGATCCGTCTGTGTGTGTGTGTGGTGGCTCTTGATGCACTGACTCCAGCCTCAGTCCACTCCTTGTGAAGTCCCCAACACTTTTGAATGGCCTTTTCCTGACAATCCTCTCCAGGCTGCGGTCATCCCTGCTGCTTGTGCACCTTTTTTCTTCCACACTTTTCCCTTCCACATAACTTTCTATTAATGTACTTTGGGAACATCCAACTTTTGCAATTACTTTTTTGAGGCATTCCCTCCTTATACCGGTTTGTCAATGATAGTTTTCTGCACAACTGTCAGGTCAGCAGTCTTTCCCATGATTGTGATTCCTACTGATCCAGACAGACCATTTAAAGGCTCAGGAAAACTTTGCAGGTGTTATGGCTTAATTGGCTGATAAGAGTGGGACACTTTGAGCGTAGAATATTGCACCTTTTCACAATATTCTAATTTTCTGAGATTGAATTTTTCGAGTTTCACCTGTATAGTAGGCTGCCCATCTCCATGTGTTTATGTAATTGATCTAATTGCATAGCCAATGGCAAGTGGCCGATGGGGTTCAGTTTGGTAAAAGGGGTTAACTATCACAGCTAATGTACTCTAAAGTAAAGTTTTCTCTTATTAGCCAGTGCCTTTGAGCCCAATGGACACATCTGGTGCTTCTCCAATGGAAGACCAGAGTGAGGCTTTCTCAAAAGCTCTGCTGCAGATGAAGGATGTGGATGAAGATGATGCTGACAATCCCATGCTGTGTAGTGAATATGTGAAGGATATCTACTGCTACCTGAGAGAACTGGAGGTAAGGTCATCTGTGTCCTCCAATAGACAATGTATTAACATGCAGTTTTCTCCTATTTTTTTGAACATCTTGCATGCAAATCTGTTCTAGTATTGGTTATTTTCCTTTGTAGTAGCTGTATTTTATTTTTTGCCAACTGCTTGTAGAACCCTAGGAGCTCACTGGCTTTCCCCTGTTCACAAATGTATCTAGGGGCCAAACATGAGCAGCACCTCCTCCAAAAGGAATGGGAAATGAATCACCAAGTTGCAGTACTACTGCTGAACTGTTTAATATTTTGCTCTGGATAGGGATGATGGGCTTTTGGAGATGTTCCCTCACCCTAGCCCTGCTAAGGATGCCACCTCTAGGGGGTGGGTGAAGTAAAACCTTTCACTTATTTCCTGATGGGTGAGGTTGTGTTCTGGGACCCCCTCAGCTTCATGGTTCCAGGGATCTGACATCCCTGGCCACAGCTCTTCCCATTGGGAGAAGTGGGATGCAGCACTCTTAGACTTGGGTTGTTAATGGGTCTTCCAAGTATCATTGCCTTGTGATGAAGAGCCATGAATCTCAGTATTTGTAATAGTTCCTGAGGTCATACTTTGCATTTTGTAACATCTGCAGGATGAGATTTACTGCTCAGCCTGCAAACTTTGTTTCTGTACTGTTCAGGCAACCACAGCATATTTTGTCTACAGTAGCTCCTACAGGGCATTTGTTTAAACATATGTCTTCATAAATGTTACAACACTTTAAAGGGTAAAATCTTAGGCTTGGGTCTTTTGTATATTTTCAGTCCTGTATAGCTTCATACAAAGTTATTCAGACCATTTGGTTTTCTCTTCTGATTTTTAGTTTGCATGTTTTTCATGCTTTGTTCACATTTCTGAGATTATTGTGCCTGGTCTAACATGTCTGTAATTCCCAGGGTCAGCCTGGTTGAAGGAGTACTATCTGGGCTTTTTGTCCCTCCTGAAGTCTAGCTAGTTCTTGCTAATCTCATGTGCTGTCCTGGAAAGGCTATTTGGAGTAATGCTTGCATAACTTCCAAGAGTCTTTCCGGGACAACAAGGTTCCTGCTCTTGAGGTGTGTACTTTTTTGTTCAGTAGAATTGGTTCAGAATAAGTCATTCTTCAGTTCTCATAATACTGACCAGAAGGGCTTTCTAAGATTTGGCGATCATGTGGAAGGAGGTGCTCATGTGGTGGTCTGCAAATGGTTACTGGCAAGACTAAAATATCCCCCTCTCCCCTTGGACAGTTGTCACTTGTGGTAAATCCAACTGGTTATCACAGCACATAAATGGGTCTTCTAATGGAAGACTCATCTTGAAGTGATAACTATCCTTGGAGAGTTCCCTCACATTGGAGAGGATTTCCTTCTGTTGCATGTCCAGGACACAGTGGAAGGGGAACATTTCCCAAGGGGTCACAGATACCAGACTGCATCAAACTAGGTTAAATATCTTTATCATATTTTAGTAGAACTTAACATTTATACTATGTAATACTTGTAGGCAGAACACGCAGTCCAGCTAGACTACCTCAAAGGTGAAGAGATAACTGGAAATATGAGGGCAATTCTTGTTGACTGGCTGGTACAAGTTCACATGCGGTTCAAGCTGCTCCAGGAGACAATGTTCATGACTGTCTCAATTTTGGACCGGTTTTTACAAGTAAGTATCTTAATCACTATAGTTGCAATTATACTGGTCTGTTGTTCAGGTCTTTATAGCCATGTATGGCTCTACATCCACATACAGGCTGGATTCCACATGCCATGAAAACAAAGCATGTGGAATTTATGAACAAAATTGGATGAGGGCTTTTAACATGGTTCCATCAGTGTGATGTTAGAGCCTGACTTGGTGTTTTTTTTTTTCCCCCATTCACAAAGCAAAACTTTGCTCTAGTTTATTATTTTATTTATTTTTCCCCCCATTGGAAAACGTGGTATTCACAAGTCCCATTTTTGACATGCTCATTTAAGTCTTCCAACTAAGCGTTGGAGTTATTTAAGTGTTCATTATTTTGGCAATTGAAGTGTTTTAATACTTGCATCGTAGAATTAACATGTATGGTGTTTAAAATATGTTTGCATTCTGGGACCAGAAGGGGAGGAGAACGGTGCCTGGAAAATTACTCATGTTTAACACTGGATTGTTGTATGTAAACGACTTTATTAAAACTGCTTACATGTTCATGAAATACAACCCCACTCCAAAATATAAACCCTTTTAGGTCAAAACACAGGTAAACGGTTCCATCTTCCAAAAACTGCAAGGGGCTTCACTACCAGAGGTTATAAATTTAACTCTCAAATCTCTACATGAATTGGAACTAGTTAGGAGAAATTTGTACAAACCTAGTCTTGTGAATTGGCTTGGGTCTTATTTGAATCACTGGCTTGTGTCTGACTTGAGGAAAGACTAACATTTTTTTTAGATCCGTTGTACATGGAGAACAGATGGGAAATCAATAGTATCTATGAATTGGGAGCCCCTTAAGAAAAGCCACTAGCTCAGCAAACACATTTAACATACTTCATGACCTGCTTATTGAAAAGTTAACTTTGTTAATTGCAGATAAACCCTGTGCCAAAGAAACAACTGCAGTTAGCTGGTGTGACTGCCATGTTCATTGCATCTAAATATGAAGAGATCTATTGTCCCACAATCGGTGATTTCTCATTTGTTACGGATCACACCTATACAAAAAAGCAGATCAGAAACATGGAGATGCAAATTCTAAATGTTCTGAAGTTTAATATTGGAAAACCCCTACCGCTTCACTTTCTAAGAAGAGCATCAAAGATAGGAGAGGTAAGGCTAAGATTTCTGTTTACTTTTGGGACAAAGTCTTGAATGTCACATGCCTGTTTTTGGTCCATATGGGTTTCTTTCTGGAACACTTGGCCTATGCTGGCTATGTCTCAACAAAATGTAAACTATGCACCTGGAGTGCCAGGTTGATCAGGTCCTGTCACCACTCATCACTTACAACTTCTGAATGAGCAGTATTGCACAGATGGAGAATATGTTAATTGGATGTTTTCTGTTCATTTTCTTCTATATAGGTTGAAGCTGCTTTGCACACACTGGCAAAATATCTAATAGAACTGTCTATGCTGGACTATGAAATGGTGCATTTTCCCCCTTCACAAGTAGCAGCTGCAGCATTTTGCTTGTCTCAGAAGGTTTTAGATGGAGGGGAATGGGTAAGTTCTTTTTTTTGTTTTTAAGCTAGACCAATAATTGGTCATTCTTAAATGCATGACTCCAGTATTCCACTGCAATAGAAACAAATCCATAAGGTCATCTCAAGGATGAGTGTACAATCTCCCTGGCTTTATTCAAATGCTACTTTTTAAGGTGTATAGTGATAAGCTCCAAGTCTGACTGGGGAAGCTTTTCTAAATTGTATCCTAAACTAAGGTGTTTAAGCTATTGATTCTCTGCAGTAGTAGTGGGGAATGAGTGTTGGCCCCTAGTGAGATGCTGATTTCAAATATTGTATAAATGTTCTCTCTGCAGACTCCAATGCTACAGCACTATATGGCCTACAGTGAGAGTGCTCTCATCCCAGTCATGCAGCACTTGGCAAAGAATGTCCTGAAAGTCAACAGAGGGCTTACAAAGTTTACGGTGAGATCTTCACATGATCAGGTTGCTTTGCATAGGCCACTGGACTGGTACTCTGGCTGTTTATCTAGTTTTCGGATTACTGAGTTTCAACTGTTGCTAATCTACATCTAATTTTGTCATGGCACACAAATGCCCTGGCTGTTTCAAGAAGGTACACAACATTTAACTGGAATTGGGAGACCAAGCATGGAAGGGCAGGGAAACTGCTTGTACTAATGACCAGGGCTAAGGATTGACTGGGGGGGCTGAAATCCCCTGCCTTGCCTAATGATGCTAGAATGTTACTTGGGGGTAGTGCCTAGAGTTGCATAATTCAGTATAGAGCTGTAATTTACATCTCCTCTGGACATTCTGGCTTATTAAAGAACTGTAAGGCATTTGTTTTTGTTTTTATAGTTTACATTAAGAGCCAGACTGCAGCTGTGTAGAAATGCTGCACTCCTTTTACTTTGTCTGACTTGGCATGACAAAGATGCCTATTTAGCACTTTAATAGTCTGCCTTTCCTGGCAGTAGGGATAGGTCCAGTCTATTAAAACCCAACTACAGCAACTTCTAGTTTAATAAAGTGGGGAACTTGCAGCTTGACAGAGGCTCTAACCCTTGTCTACTCACCACTTTCAGTTGTGGTTTAGTTTGAAAGTAGAATTATGGCAGAACAATTTGTGGGGTGATAACAATGCTGCGCTAACAATGCTGCACTACTCCTGAATTCAGAGCAGAGTTGCCACTTCTATGGAGGCATTTCCTGCATGACTGTAGGATGTGGCTATTAGCTTTGCCACTGCTAATTCACAAGCCTGTAGTGTCAAAAGGACCTAGCCAGTCTTCACTGCTTTCTCCCACTGAGCTGTAGTGTCCGGAAGGGGAAAGTGTTTTTCTTTGGGGGGGGGAGGGGTTGATTGAATCGGCCACTAAGGTAAAAGGGTGCATGTGGTTTTTAGGCTTCTGCATCATAGTAACTATACTTTGTACTTTAAGTGTATGCAAGAGCCTTTAGGTGTACTTCTTCTTATGGTCTGTCTAAAGAGCAGCTATGCTAGAGAACATGAAGTGATCAACTAACACTTTAATCTTTCTTGCAGTCTGTCAGAGACAAATATGCCAGGAGCCAGCAAATGAGGATCAGCTGTTTACCCCAACTCAATTCAGAAATTATGGTGACACTTGCCAAAAATGTATGTTAATGCTTATATAATGTTGTAAACTATACTCTGTAAACATTATGCTCTTATACACTTTTAATACTTTTTTTATATTTTTAATAAATGCTCTAAATTTGATTTCATGGTGTGTGATTCAATACCAAACAACCTGGACACAAGCTAGTGTAGCCCATCACCTTTTGTGATGTGGCTGCTAGAAATTTAGTGATTGCCAGAGCTGTCAGTCTGGCTGCATTTTATAGCTGGGCATTTATCTGGTTAATTGTGTCCATGGATTAGTCCAGGTTAGGACTACGCCTCTAGTCTGGAGGCCTTTGCTAATAAGGAGAACCAGGGAAACAGATGGCTACTGGAGGTGCCTGGAATAGAGTACCTCAGTAGCAGGTCTGGTGTCTCTCCTACTGAAGACTCTGTACCAACTCGTATCACCTGTGCTGCAAATGGATCTACACTGAAAGGGACCTGGGTATCTCTCACCCAGCATGTTGTCATGTCCCCACAATCAGGCTTCCCCCAGCCTTCAAGGACCTGTTCTGCAGTACATATTGCTCTGTGCCTACCAGACCCTCCAGTCACCACTTCCA